AATTGCTTTGATATTACATATATAGGTACTACATGTGGACCTCTCTCAGATTTGTTCATTTGTAATGATATCTTTAATTCTCTAAATTTGGTGAATATTTTTGTCATTTTTGGTAAAAAGTGATACTTTCGACTTCTTGTTAAAAATCATAAGTCCAATTGCTTTGATATTACATATATAGATACTACATATGGACCACTCTCAAATTTGTTCATTTCATGATAATATCTTCAGTTCTCTAATTTTGATGAATATTTTTGTCATTTTTGGTAAAAAGTGATATTTTCTTCTTGTTGAAAACCACAATCATTTATGGTCAAAAATGATATTTTTGAATTCTTGTTGAAAACAGCAAGTCCCATTGCATTGATACTATGCATATTGTTCATTTTTTAATGATATCTTCTGTTCTTTAATCGAAATGTGCATTGCTAACAGCGGAGCTATCTCAGCCGAGAGGCTGCTTGTTATATATATTGAGAACTGTCACCTATCATTTAACTCATATATTCATATATTTGTTTTTCAACAGCCAAGGACACAGTTTAAAGTCAAACACATTCTATTGATATGGATGCTAATTTTTGTGTGTAGTTGGATGGGTTATTTAAAGTACACTTCCTATATGGATTTATGTAGAGAAAATACAGTGAAAGCAGTCATAGTAAGTATCTCATAATGCACCATGCTTTGTGTCAATAAAAACTTTCTACTGTAGCACATACAGTTGTAATGACTACTGGTTAAATCTGCAAAGAATTCAAAAATATTCATTTTCATAAACACAAGATTGTCAAACCTGGCCTTAGAGGGCAGTATCTTTCTATGTTTAAATAGCCTTCCAAACACAGAAATCACCTTTGTTGAAATAAAACTCTAATTTATACCATATTGATTATTATGTTATTAATATTTGCTTCAAAATAACAAAAAAATTATAGAAAAATTAGTAAATAGAAATGTGTAAAATATCGCATCAACATTTTTGTTGGGAAAATGATGGTGTTCAAAATCTGTAGTTGGCAAAATTTACGTATTATCAATATCGAGTATACCAAACAATCTGACTTTATCAGAGAGAAGAATTGTATCAAATTTGGTCCTTTGTTTAGCCTCTGAAGTCGGCCAATTATAATTAATTTGCATCTACATGTATGTATATAACTATTGGTTACTTACAAGACACGTACACGTACACGTACATGTACAATACTGTGAAATACTTTATTTAAGCTAGAAATTAATTTTCTCTGAAAAGACTTCATGGCTGTTTTGTATGGATTTTATTTTCAAAGATTTTTGATGAGTTGAATGTAAAATATACAAAATAAAGTATATTCGTTGGATTTTATTTTCACTGAATCATTCCTTCTGCGAAAATAGCGAAAATTAATTCCAAGTGAAAATAAAGTTTTGCATTTATTATATACTGACTGTACATGTATCATTGACTTAGTTTTACCATCAACACACCTCTGATATTTACCTGAATGCATGCAATACTGAAGTTTATTTACTCTGATACCCACTTTATCTTGCAGTGTGATCGATACAGAAAAGGTATTATTGCGGGTTCTCTTTGTGAAGAGCTATGCGAATTAAATACTGTGGTCTTCAGTAAATGCCATTCACATCTTCCATTACAGCAGGTGAGGTTGCCATGGTATTTTACATGTTGATTATAAATATATATAAATTAAATTTTGTTAATGTAATTTTTTTTCTTTAAATAATTAATTACTGAAAATGTCAGTTAAATTTTGTCAAAATGTTTTTATGCTTATGTGGTGTTTGAATGCCAAGTGGAGTTTAGATCTCTCTCAATTTGTTCAGGGTTATGTTACATTGTACAAAAAGTTGTATTGTTGGCAGACCTAACAGTCATGTTTGCTCACTCATTGGCCATGTGTTGCTCACTCATTGGTCATGTGTTGCTCACTCATTGGTCATGTGTTGCTCACTCATTGGTCATGTGTTGCTCACTCATTGGCCATGTGTTGCTCACTCATTGGTCATGTGTTGCTCACTCATTGGTCATGTGTTGCTCACTCATTGGTCATGTGTTGCTCACTCATTGGTCATGTGTTGCTCACTCATTGGCCATGTGTTGCTCACTCATTGGTCATGTGTTGCTCACTCATTGGTTATATTTTGCTCACTCATTGGTCATGTGTTGCTCACTCATTGGTTATATTTTGCTCACTCATTGGTAATGTGTTGCTCACTCATTGGTTATATTTTGCTCACTCATTGGTCATGTGTTGCTCACTCATTGGTTATATTTTGCTCACTCATTGGTCATGTGTTGCTCACTCATTGGTCATGTGTTGCTCACTCATTGGTCATGTGTTGCTCACTCATTGGTCATGTGTTGCTCACTCATTGGTCATGTGTTGCTCACTCATTGGTCATGTGTTGCTCACTCATTGGTCATGTGTTGCTCACTCATTGGTTATGATTTGCTCACTCATTGGCCATATGTTGCTCACTCATTGGTTATATTTTGCTCACTCATTGGTTATATTTTGCTCACTCATTGGCCATGTGTTGCTCACTCATTGGTCATGTGTTGCTCACTCATTGGTTATATTTTGCTCACTCATTGGTCATGTGTTGCTCACTCATTGGTTATATTTTGCTCACTCATTGGTAATGTGTTGCTCACTCATTGGTTATATTTTGCTCACTCATTGGTCATGTGTTGCTCACTCATTGGTTATATTTTGCTCACTCATTGGTCATGTGTTGCTCACTCATTGGTTATATTTTGCTCACTCATTGGCCATGTGTTGCTCACTCATTGGTCATGTGTTGCTCACTCATTGGTTATATTTTGCTCACTCATTGGCCATATGTTGCTCACTCGTTGGTTATATTTTGCTCACTCATTGGCCATGTGTTACTCACTCATTGGCCATGTGTTGCTCACTCATTGGCCATGTGTTGCTCACTCATTGGCCATGTGTTGCTCACTCATTGGTTATATTTTGCTCACTCATTGGCCATGTGTTGCTCACTCATTGGTCATGTGTTGCTCACTCATTAGTTATATTTTTCTCACTCATTGGCCATATGTTGCTCACTCATTGGTTATATTTTGCTCACTCATTGGTTATATTTTGCTCACTCATTGGTCATGTGTTGCTCACTCATTGGTTATATTTTGCTCACTCATTGGTTATATTTTGCTCACTCATTGGTTATATTTTGCTCACTCATTGGCCATGTGTTGCTCACTCATTGGTCATGTGTTTCTCACTCATTGGTCATGTGTTGCTCACTCATTGGTCATGTGTTGCTCACTCATTGGTTATATTTTGCTCACTCATTGGCCATATGTTGCTCACTCATTGGTTATGATTTGCTCACTCATTGGCCATGTGTTGCTCACTCATTGGCCATGTGTTGCTCACTCATTGGCCATGTGTTGCTCACTCATTGGCCATGTGTTGCTCACTCATTGGCCATGTGTTGCTCACTCATTGGCCATATGTTGCTCACTCATTGGTTATGATTTGCTCACTCATTGGCCATGTGTTGCTCACTCATTGGTCATGTGTTGCTCACTCATTGGTTATATTTTGCTCACTCATTGGCCATGTGTTGCTCACTCATTTGTCATGTGTTACTCACTCATTAGTTATATTTTTCTCACACATGAACATATTTTGCTCACTCATTGGCCATGTGTTGCTCACTCATTGGTCATGTGTTACTCACTCATTAGTTATATTTTTCTCACACATGAACATATTTTGCTCACATGTTGTTTATATCATGTCTTACATGTTTGTAGTGTGTTGCTCACACACTCTGTTTCAGAATAGTGGTGGTGGTGGTAGTCAGCTGATTTGTCAAGTTTTTCAAATTACTGCAGTACTGTCATTATTAAAAACTGAGCAGCTCACTGACCTCCATTTTCTTACAGGTTTACTCTGGATATATCCAAATTCCTGAAACTGAGAAAAGCCAGTCAAAGAAGATCATTCTGAAACTAAACATGGATAAGATATTGAGTTCTGATCCACTGGTGCGTGAATCACTGTACAGTAAGCCAGAAAAGGGACGATCTATGGATGATTTCCGGGTCATGTTGACAGCATTTCTTGAGAGAAAACTGGGAGAAGGAGAACATTCTAATTTACAATCTAGCATTATTGACATAGCTGATATTAATTATGATGGAAAAGTCACGCTTGCTGAGGCTAAGACTATGTGGGCTTTGCTACAGAATAGTGAGTTTTTTATGACAATGGTTTTGAAGGACAGTGATCATATCCCAAAGCTTGAAGGTTTTTGTGGGGACTTGTTTATTGTAGAAGAAGTCATGGTAGATCGAGTTTACGGCTTAGAACTGCCTGGAATTGTGAATACTTTTGTTCCCAATAGCTACAAACAGCGCATGGATCAGTGGTTCACGCCGACGTGGCCACAGAAAGCCCACATTGCCGTGGGAATGTTAGAGTTCATAGAAGAGATCTTCCATGGCCAGAACGGCAACTTCTATATGTGTGATCTGACAGAGCATAGTATCGGATTCACAGATAAACATGAAGTGAAAGTCATCAACTTTGCCAACCTTGTGCCTGAGACAACACTATCGCAAGTTTTACGAGAACGTCATTGCACAGTCAACACAGACTGTACCTATGCTGAAAACTGCATGTCGTTGTGTGATTCAACCAGTCACCAATGCACAGGACAAGTGGTGCATCCAAATCTACAAAAAGTGTGTGTGTTGTTGCATACTTTTCTGCTGCGAGGAGTCCCCGCAGACATAAAAACAGAACTGGAAGAGGAATTGAACAAGTGTCTGGCATTGGATGCTGGCATAATGAAGGATATACAACTAGAACACTCGTTAGTTTTAAACTCACTGAGAAGTACTCTCTGGAAAAAAATCTCAAATGAGAAATTTGGACACAGAAACACATGATTGAGAATACATTGAGTCAGGTGTAATTTTCAATATGCATAGCGTCCTAATCGTTATGAGAGGCGTTTGCACACCGTTACTTTCAAAATTTTTACTCACTGATATACATTTTGCTACAAATATCGATAGCTGGAAACTACATCAGATAGTGGTACGTCATGTTGTTCAATAATCAAGAAGATGTTCAACAAAAACCATAAAGTGACTGATTAAGGCAGCCCTGTTAAAATATTGATTCCCAATAGATTTATTCAGCTGTTGCAGGAATATGATTTGAATCACAATAAAATAATGAATTTTGATTTTTGGAGGAAATATTTCGTCTTTATACAAAGATTTTTCGATTTTAGCTTTTGTACACTATAGTTATGTCTCTTTTGCGGCTATTGACTGGATGTAGTTGGAAGCTGACTATTGACTGGATGAAGTTGGAAGCTGACTATTGACTGGATGCAGTTGGAAGCTGACTATTGATTGGACGCATTTGGTAGCTGACTATTGACTGGATGCAGTTGGTAGCTGACTATTGACTGGATACAGTTTGAAGCCGACTATTGACTGGATACAGTTTGAAGCTGACTATTGACTGGATACAGTTTGCAGCTGACTATTGACTGGATACAGTTTGAAGCCGACTATTGACTGGATGCAGTTGGTAGCTGACTATTGACTGGATGCAGTTTGAAGCTGACTATTGACTGGATACAGTTTGAAGCTGACTATTGACTGGATACAGTTTGAAGCTGACTATTGATTGGATGCATTTGGTAGCTGACTATTGACTGGATGCAGTTGAAAGCTGACTATTGATTGGACGCAGTTGGAAGCACAGTGAATGTGAACAATATTTTAGATCCCAAAATTTCAAATTATGTTCTATTTGGGCAATAATTAATGCAAACATTTGAGAAAAAGGATTCGAAAATAGTGATAATACTAACTGCAAACTAATCTTAGTTTATAGAAAAAGAGACTTTTAACACAACTTGTATATTAATAAGGGTTTTAGGATTGTGTATTTCCCATTGAAATTCTGAAACAAGAGAACCCAAAATGTTTTATCACAGACAAATTTCTTACCATATTTGCTCTATTCAAAGCATATCAATTCATCCTTGCGCAAAGGTCAACACACATCATTAGAACTTTGTTGTGGCATGCAGGTAACAACTCATCTTCCGACAACCAACACGTTGCCAGCCACTAGTAAATATTCAGACAGAATGTTTCAGTACTAGATATAGCAAGAAAACTGTTGTCGTTTTTATATTATTTGGTAAATGACATGTGAAATGTGTTCAGAACATAAAATGGCAACAGTAAACATTCAATTCTAGGAATGTGAATAGAGGCATAAGATGCCATATCATAATTGTGCCATACTCGCACAGATATAAAAATTGCAAGTTTTGGGACACAAGTTTAAGATCTTCTAATTTAAGCGAATTATGCTTTTTATTTCCACCCAGTGGGTAATAGTATTCTAATTTTATAAATAGTCTTGTCTATGATTTCATTAAAAAATTAAAGTACCAATAATAGTGAATGTTAAATTTAGTTTTATTTTGAATAATTCTGTAGCCTCAGAATGCCTTTCTCAGTGTACTCAAGAATGTCATGGTGAATCGCTATGTAGTAGGCACAAAATTCTGTGTCATCTCTGATTGGCTGTCTCCATGGCTTCAGTACATTACCATGGGAACTCGCATACTGACAGGTAGACTGACGCATACGTAGGCCCACCCACAGCCCTTCAGACAAATTTACTAGTCTATTACATGCATTTGTAGATTTTTTAAAGATAATCTACGGGATCCAGTTTAAAAATTGGATCATTTCAGCATAAAACATTACTTGTGGCATTAACACAATTTTTTCGAGTGAAACCAGGCCAATGGCTAAATTTCATTTTCTTTTGTTGTTTTTGCATTAGTTTCTTCTGTTGTGAATTTTTTCCATGACACTTACTGAGACAGACATTTGTATACTGTAAACAACATAATTTTGGCTGCTAGAAAATTCAGAATTTATGGCAATTTTGAAGAAATAATTTTTTGAAACTCACTGAGACTTTGTGTTGTACAACATAGAATCAAAGAGAAATTCTCACAACTACAACTAGGTTTACAGTATATTTCTTAATTCTTTCTTAATTCAGATTTTCATTACTTTTAATGAAATTCCATAGAAGTTATGCATTGCCATATGCTCAGTCAACAACTGCTGTAAGATATAGTTGTTATGTTGCCATAGTAACTGCAGCTCAATGATTAATCTGAATAAAGTCTGATGTATTAAGGGGCTCTATTTGCCAGTGAATATTACCTTTATCTGCCTAATTTGCGTTCCAACCTTTGTAGCGAATCTGCAGTGAATCGTACGTATGGTGTCATTGCAGGGGACCCAAATACAAGACTTGAAATGCAATTAGCAATGGATGTCGCATGATAAAAGCCAATCACCTATCTCCACTGATGAAATAGGTCAACAAATTAGAGTGAGCCTTACTAAAACACTAACACAATATCTGATTGGTTCCTGATCATTTGAGGCCTGAATGTGCATGAGTGATGTTCAAAGGCACCTGAATCCTCTACTTACACCGGATTTTACTCATTGAGTAAATTTTATATATATTCTGTACATAATACTGAGCTATGCAGTGCAGTTTGTTATTACTATAAGTTTCAGCTGTGAATATGAACATGTATATGTCATTACAGATATTTAACATTTTTTTTAACCACTCTGTTATTTATATTTTATTAGCTATGTTATTGTGTGAACAAATTGACAATGGTTTTACAAATATGCACAATACTAGTGTATTAGTCATTGGCTTTTCTATATTAACTAAAGAAAACCGTTGTAGATACAGGGCTTGGGGTTCAGAGGGCACCTATCTTCCAGACGAAATTTGATAACATTTTCTTTCATAGTGAATACACAAATATTATAGGGGGAAATCTGTATTTTTTGAAGGGCACTGAGTCAAACACTTTAGGAATCAAAGCAATTCTATACAGTTTGTGGCAGAAACCTGTAGACATTGTAAAAATTTTGTAAATAAAGAATGTTATAAATTCAGCAACAGTGTTGTGACATCATAGAGTATAAATGAATATTTAATGAGTGAGTTTAACATCATCCAATTAGCAAACACCTTTAATATTATTAATTAGAATAAGTTGGTAGACGTATGGGAAGTGTTGGACAGATGAGATTGAGGTGTTAAGTCAATTCCTCCTGTAAATTAATTTATTTTCACTTGGAATATTTTTGAAAACAAGAATTAGTGAAAATAAAATTCAGTAAAAATTTCTGATATTATACTTCACACAAGACAGGTAAAATGTCTTTTCAACAAAAACAAATCTCTGCTAAAATAAAGTTTTATACAGTACTTTAAACCATTTACTTTCACTAACATTTAATTTCACTATTTTGTCAAGGAAACAATGAGTTTTATTGTTATTTTACATGTGCATGTAGATTTAATTTAACCTATTTCACTTATCAGCAAAATAATGAGATTAAGAACCGGTGAATAATTATTATATATTTGAATGAAAGCTGAGAGCTGCTATTAACAAATATTTATAAATGTGTTTATAAACAAATGTACTCTTGATGCAACAAAGGCATTCCTTTATCTTTATAAATTCCAATGGCAGTTGAATCAAACCAGCCAATCAACAAGCATATTGTGCAACATTGACATTTAAAAACATTCCAGTCAGCCAACAGAAACCTCTTGATTCATTTTGAATTGTGAAATGCCTTTGTTGTGCTAAGAGTAGAGATTTCTGCCATGCCTGTATTCATAAATCAGTTTTATTTCAATTCCAAAGTTATGACAAAATTGTATTTTGAGATTTCATTTATCTTGCACTCCAGAGTAAACAGTGACTTTCTCCTGGGTGAATTGACCGCAAAATCTTGTGTATCTTTTGCCAAAGGTCACATTGTGTGTGTGTGACCCTACAATCAGTGGTGGACACACAGACAAATAACTGAATAAATATGTGCATAAATTTGGTGTAAAGTGTTGTCATAACGATATGTTTTTTGGGACCATGAATAGAGGGGGGGTATAAAAAAAATCCCATCTTAAAGCATAATGCTGTGAAGTGAAAGAACTTGCGAACCACAGAACGATGTGTGATTGGAGCAATTTAATGAACATCGCCCTCTCTGGCAATATTCACTTTGATTTTGAAATTTTGATGTAGGACATTAACTAATTTGAGAACCAAAAAAGGAGGTCCAGGGCCAGCCTTATTTTAAACAGTTATTTCTTCAAATACTAGTACGAGTCAACAAAATTCTAACTAAATCCCAAACTTTGTAACATCAGACTTATTTTATTGCTCTCATATTCATGGATACATAAACAACAATGTACAAATACACACCATAGGTGACTTCCTTGTCAAACTCTGTCTAATCTAATCAATAAAATACTCTCCAGAAAAAAATAAAACCAATCTTACTCAGCAATGGTACATTCTCAAATTTTGTGTTTGGATTAAACGAACATTTTGCATTTGAATAAACACCACTCATTTCTATACCTTTGAGGAATTTCCGAAAAATGGCATGGAAAATAAAAATAGTACATTAACTTCTTAATACACTCTGTATTTACCGACTCAACTAGCTAAGCATGATATGATTAAGATGATCATACATTACATTTCTTGAAAATAATTTTTTTTTATCAATTTAATCTCAGCTACCTTTAACAATCATTCTGCATCGTCCTGAAATTACTCACCACAGATGGCGCTAGACAAAGCAGCATTGTGATAGAAATCTGTGTTAATTATTATCTATATCAAAATAAATACAATCTGAATGTGCCATTTGTTAATCTCTACAATGCAGACAGTTATCTGAAATATGAAAACTGACTCGTTCCATTACGATAAAAGCACAATACAATAGTTATAAGTTCACACTCGTTTTACCAGTCATGTCATTGTTCACTTCTGTCATTAAATATACTATGAAATGTCTCTTTTAATAAAACAACTTGTTGGCAAAAATGTACACAAACGCCATCACAGTGTGAGTTGTCCTATAGTTAGGTCCACTTTTAATACAAACACAGAGAGGGACAAGTTGGGACAATATTACATCGAATATCAGAGGGGATGCTTTTATAAGCCTATTTATTAATGTGTCACAACTGTAGTCCTAATTCAAAATTGTATCTCCAGTAAAAACCATTGTTAGAATATTAGACAATCTATCTAGACACAGAATTTTAACATTTCTATGAGAAATCTTTCAATCAGGACAAATGCAGACCAATTCATCATGGTAGCTCTAAAGACATTTTTGAATCAATACTGTATTTGCTCTACTATACATATAGGTACACTCATTCTCAGAAGGTTTGTAGTGTTCTCCTTATAAAACAAATTTCCCACTGAGAAATGTTGTGAAATGAATGAAAATTTCTCAGATTTTACTTTAACTTTATACTTAAATTTAGAGGCCCCACCGGAGACAAATCCATGGTCAAAATAAGTCACATTTTGATAATCCAGTAAACACTATTACAAGAAACACATTTTTGGGCTTATTTGTGCTTCTATTAGAGCAAATACAATATTCTTATTATAGGTTTTTATTTGTTTAGATAGTGTCTGCATAGTCAGCTATCCCTAGTACACCATTATCATTATATTATACATGTAAAAAATAAGTATACAAAAACTCAACCACATTTTCCTTGAAACAGTCGATGGAGTTAAAAACTTACTCAGGAAATTTAGAAAGTTTCACCAAAAGGAACATCATCATTTAAAAGATCCTCACATAACACAACCATCATTGC